GATTATCAATCATAGTACGTACGTATTGACGCCAAAACCTGTTCTAACAAGAACCTTAATAAATAGAACAAACCATAAATAGACAACGATCTTATCAATGTGTGTGCTTCAAGGCTCCGAAAGGGGTCAAAAAGCCCGGGTAATCGACCCCAGAACATAAAACCCGAAAACTTATCATATGACCCCAAGTGATTAAATCACTGGTAATACGGCAAAAATTTTTCAAGCGATTTAATTAAAGGATCTGCAAGTTGCAGCACACAAAATTTATGGCGATCTATGTTTTGTGAAAAAAACATCTATAAGCTGACATTTATATCTTACAATTTAATTGGTATTCTTTTTATAACAAAAAATTTTGTTATTTTATATTTTTATACTATCTATGTTTTTTCCTTTTTCGCCAAAAATTTTTGAAGTATCTTATTTTGAAATGGCGTTTTGAGAATATCAATGAAATCAAACTCGAAATTTGGTTGGCATCCACGTTATTATCTACGTAAACTCAAAGTTAAGACTCTTTTTGCATTATAAACTAAATATTATGGTTATACATTTAATTATTCTCATCTACCTATTTTATTGAATATAGATTGCCTTTCCATCATATATCTAAATTGAATTCGTTTTCATGACATATTGGACCCCAATCATTGCTTAGAGGTTTTTTTTTTTACATATTTTGATATAGCTCTTGATAATAGCTAAATGAATTTAAATTTCATTTAGAAAATGTAAAGAGGCCAATTTTCACTTTATTTTAACTAGATATTATCTTGAGGATTGATTGTTGATCACAGTTTCGAGATAAAATATAATTTTGATTTTGATTATACTAGGAAACATGAACTGTTGAAATTTGGAGCTTAATATTTAATTTTAATTTTATAGCTTTCCTTTAAAAAATATATTCGTATATCATTTAAGATAACAAGAGTACCACCAACAACAGTAATAAAGAATTTTAATATTTATTATGTCAATAAGCAATAAACTATAAGTCAGGCCAATCCTAACTTAAATCGGTCAACCTTGTCTGCAAAACAGTTGTTTGCGAAATTGGTATATATCTTTTTTCTCTTTAGATACGTACCCATACATAAAGATACATAACAATTGCTGAATTATTGTAGCATGGAAATAATAAAATAGAATGTCCCCAATTCAATTACTTCCTTTTACTTGATTTAATAATCTAAATATAAATATAAAATAAGCAATAAATTTGGTTAGTTATAAGTAAATCATGTATTACTTACCATCGGGAACTCCAACATATTTAATGAGTTGACTTGCTAAAATATATACACATAAATATATTAAAACTACAGTTTGAATTCAATTTGAGAAGATAAATTTCATTACCTGCATTTACTATATTAACAGATTCAGAAATAATATATATAATGTTTTGAAACCCACATTTGTAGCACATTACATCATCTATTTTAAATTTTATATTACTTTATAGTGAAATTTTATAGGTTATCAGATATTGAAGATCAAAATATTATTGTCTGCTCAATGTAGTGTAGCAGAATAGGCGAGTGATCATTAGCCAGATGGTCAGGGTTCAATTCCACCGTGGACCAACCGCTCTTAGCCGACGGAGTAAGTGTTGGAAAGCGGTACCTATGTTGGTGGATTTCTTTCTTTAATTTTTTTTAAAAAAAATTAACAGTATCACGACAAATGTCCATTCTTAATGATTATTTATTTCTATTGAAAAAAAAACTTATTTTTATAATAGAACTTTCGGCCAAATATACATAAAAATATTTTTTCATAAGAGCCCACGTAAAAATCCATCTGATTGATTGTCGATCCTTGCTAATCACATTGTTTACTTAACATACCGATACGTATCATACACTTCCAAATTAAGCACCCCCCTGAAAATAAGTACCCAGTATTGCTGTATTGTTATAGAAATTTTGAAGATAATACAAAATAAAAATACTATATGGTATTACCATCAAGATCCCTATTTCAATACTATACACTGGAGTGACGATTTTTAATAAGAAAAGTATTTTAAAAATTACAATTGACTGTATAAATAATAATCGTCGCCAATCATATTAAGAACTTCAGATATGTATAAAAACATTGATCTACATTATTTGTCACTCCGGGTAGTTTAGTCCACTACAGTAAATTCTTTGCTTACTATTTGAAAGTAACCAATCAACAAAACTTAAAGGAATTTTGTTCTCCGACGTTACTTCCTGGCAAGTGATATATTTTTAATCGATCTATGAAAACATGCTGTGTGTATATTATACTTATTCACGTTCAAAATGATATGAAGCTGGAGTTAACATGTAAAGGGCATATTAAATTAAAGTACTCAACCGCAATTTATTAATCAAAAAATGAATGATTCAGATGGAAATACAGAATAAAATGATTAGCACGAATGTAATGATAGATAAGTATTATGTTCTTGGTCAGTGATCTTGCTTTACTGATTTTGATTCACAAACTAAATAGAATGATTAATAACGTAAATGAAATGACTTGAAAGATATTATGGTAAGTATTTACATTTTTGGTTTGAATTTTGTTATCCCCGATTAATAAATTTCTTTATGCACGCCATAAATTAATGATTTGAAGGTTTTGGCTGATGAAAAAATAAGTATTTATTTTCATGATTTGTGAAATTGTTAGTTGCTTTTAAACCATTGACTAATCAATGTTTTTTATGCATACCGATAAACTAATGCGAATTCCATAAATAAATTAATGTGAATGAAATAATTTAAGGCTATTGGGATAAAGGGAAATAAGTATATATGCTCGTAATATGTGAACTTGTTTTTGCTTTTTCTAATTCAATTGATTAAAATATTCTTTATTTTCACAGACTAAATTAATGCGAATGAGATTATTATATAGTAGGAAATATATTTAGTTCATGATTTGTGATCTAATTTTTTTTGCTTTTAATTTTATTGATTAATAATACTCTTTGCCTTCACAACTAAATTAATACGAGCGAAAGAGAATTTGTTTTTAATTCCATCAATAAATTAATACGAATGAAATGATTTGAAGGATTTGGAGAATAAGAATAAGTATTTATTTTCGTGATTTGTGAATTCATGTTTGCAATTTTTAATTCCATACATTAATAAATGAATGCCTTTTATATTTACAGACTAAATTATATGAATGAAATAAGAATCTGGGTTTTCTATTTTAATTCCACCAATAAATTAACGTGAATGAAATGATTTGAGGATTATTGGATAATGGAAAATAATGTAATTATGTTCGTGATTTGTGAGCTTGTTCTTCTGCTTCCAATTCTATTGATTAATAAATGAATGATTTCGCCCGTTTTAATTAGACCGATAAATTAATATGAATAAAATGATTTAAAACTATCAGATAATACGAAATAAGTATTCTGCTCATGATTTGTGAATTTATTTTGTCTTTTTAATTTTATTGCTAATAAATGCTTCTATATATTTACAGATTAAGTTAATGATTTGAAGTATATTGGGCGATAGGAATGAGTATTTATGTTCATAATTCCATTGATGAATTAATTTTTACGCACACTGCTAAATTAATACGAACGAAATAATTTGAATGCAGTGTTAAATAAGTATTTATGTTCTTGATTTAATTTTCTGACTAATAAATGATTTATATGTAAGATTAGGTTTAATTAGTAATGTAATTGGGTTAAAATTATTGATATATTGGCTAAAATTATTATAATTAAGGTTAGGATAAAACCTGTTAGGATTAAGGTTAGAATAAAAGCCTATATTAGAAAATCACCGGTTTGAAAATTTTATCAATTTAAGATTTTTAGTTCAGGTATCGGTTCTGTAGTACAATTGTCATTATACATTAACTTCGATTTAAAATATGATACCTGCCGAAATCACTCATACTCTTATTATAAAAATCAAATCCAGATTCTAACCTAATTTTGCAATTATAAAAGAAAAAAAAACTAAAATGTACACCCAAAAAATTTAGAAAATTTTTGTAATAAAATATCTAAAAATTCCAGTCATAACCGTTTCAGCTTCCGCTATGACAATTTCTAGCTAAAATAAAATAAAATACCGCACTTTCTGAAGAATCCCACATTGTAAGAATAAGTAGATGTTGCTTTTTCCATTAGAGGCCAGGTAGTTTTAAATTGATTACTAACAAATTTGTAAACTAAAGCCACGTGACGCATATAAATTACTGCCTGGCTTTAAAATTCGAATGCTATATATGGCAAAGCTCAATAAAAGTTTTTCAAGCCCTACCTATAACACTGTCTTTTACGTATTATATAACTGAAATTTTAACAAAATATTGATAGCTTACATTATATAACAAAATGAATTTAATATTAAATGCAATATTTGGCAATTTATTTTCCTGACAATTACAATGTAAGATCTCATTCATGCATATTAAACAATTAAAATATATTTATTGATAATTTAAAAAATATGCATTGGTTATGATATTTGAAAAAATCTCTAACCGATTATTGTTATAACCTGTCAATAACCGGCAATAACTGTAACTAAACACATCCCTCTCTAAGTATAAAGAATCATTTAACATCAGATTAAATAAGATTCCATAACTATGTAAAAAACATAAAATCGGGAATATATTATGAATACAAATTTTAATTAATGAATCTCCATGTTATATGCACCCTTACTTGAAATAGAATCGAAACGATCACACAAAATTCTGAGTAAAATTCATGTTATCGACACATTGATGTCAATTACAAATTAACAAATATGCTAAAATTACATCTTCAGATATGATCTAAATCAGATAAATTTTAAATCATTCGGTTATCTTAATCAGTGTTGTCACTAGAAGACCACCTAAGCAAAATTAATAGTATAATTGGAATTTTTACTATTGTAAAAATCTCAGAATTTCCGCCTGGAAGTCAAAATTAACAACACTGATCTATTTTTCACTATAATTTCTTAACTTCCTTCCTTAAAAAAAGCTCAATATCTTTGATTTTCTTTTTGGACAGTTTCTATAGCATCTTCTAAAGGGTCTATTGGTTTGAGAGCAGGTACAGCGAACACGTTGAATGGACAAAGTTTTGGTTTATTTTGTGACTGACAAGGTATAATGAAATTAGAATTCATTGCCTGTGTAAACTTCTACAATATATATTATGTGTTATCATGTGAAAGATTGTTTTGATAGCAATTCTTGAATGTGTGCCATGTTGATGACGCATCAATCAGCCAAGGTAATTTGCATCTAATAAAAATTATAACTTTAACGATAACAAAATTGTAAATTTTACAGTAGTAGAGTGAAAATATCATTTTCTAAAATTATTTCTTACTTGAATCATGTCCTTTTATTTTCAAAAAAGTATGCTTCCTTTCATTTCTACATACCTTTGGCCTCTAACGTTGTTGTCAAAAAAAAAAGTATTCGTACCCTTCTGTTTTTCTGTTTACAACAAGTGTTATTATAACTTTCAAAATTCTAATACGTGCTAAAAGTTTGGTAATAAATGCAAATAAATACAATTAATTTATAAACAATTTAAACGAAAAAAGCTTAAACTACACTAAACCATACCTTTAAAAAAGAATAATAGTAGCATTCCATAATTATAAAAGGAGTCCACTTTTAAAACCAAATTTATAAGTTTTAGTTAACCATACGTTCGAAATTATTGTAATGAAATCTGTATATAATCTACTCACGTGCAAAGTACAGTTAACACTCTTTATAATGAAAATTTAAAATTTAGATTAGTTTGGTATAGAAAGAGTTGACTATTGCATATTTCTGTCACATACCTTCAACTCGTAAAAGAAAATAGAAACTTACAAAATATAGGACGGTAATGAATCGCATGGTGGAAAGTTGTCATTCAAAGAAAATTTTTACAAACGTACTGAATAAAAGAAGAATTGGCGTTTTGATGACCATCTATTTTTTATTTATATTTTTAACACGTGAATTTTATGTGTTATCAAGATTTGAAGGTCAGATTATAGTGATATCTATCTGAAGTAGCGTAGCCGAGTTGACGAATGGTCATCAACCAGATGGTCAGGGTTCAACTCCACCAAGGAGCGGAAGTCGGCCCGTCGTAAGTTCCGTGGTACCTATGTAGGGAGATCTCAAATTTATTATTTTTTAAAAAAATATTAAAAAACTAGCCAATACCATAACAGATGTTCATTTTATTAGTTATTTGTGTCTTTTGAAAAAATCTTATTGTTTGCTATAGAATTTTCGGTTCAAAATAGACAAAATTCAAGAACCCTGCAAAAAAATATAATTGCCGTATAATTGATGATCTACCAATCGAATTGATGTAGTACATGCATGACTGGGTGTACAAGTACTGTAGATCAACGATAATTTAATAACCGTGCTATATGGAGAAAAATCTATGTTATCGAAATGTCACTGAAATGATTTCTGATTACTAATTATGCAAAGCTACCTTTTCAAATATGATCCAGAATCAGATAAATTAAAATAGAATTTTAAAACTAAATATAATAAAACTTATACTTACATGCTAATAATTTGATAAAAATATTTGTTAAAATATTTATTAAATGCATATTTTGAGAATAATAATTTTAAAACTAAATGCAATAAAACTTATACTTTTAACTCCCTTCCTTAAAAATTTTTTTAATGCCTTTGATTTTCTTTTTTAACAATTTCTACGGTTTCTTCTAAAAATCTATTGGCTGAGAACGGGCGTCGAATACGACAAAGCTCTGGCGTATTTCGTGACTGATTAAGCATATTGAAGGTAGAACTAATTTTATTGAAATTTCAACCACGTGAAAGGTTGCGTTGATAACCACATTTGTAGCACATTACATCATCTATTTTAAAATTTATATTTACTGTATAGTGAATTTTATAAGGTTATCAGATATTGAAGATCAAGATATTATGATCTGCTCAATGTAGTGTAGCAGAATAGGCGAGTGGTCATTAGCCAGATGATCAGGGTTCAATTCCATCGTGGACCAACCGCTCTTAGCCGACGGAGTAAGTGTTGGAAAGCTGTACCTATGTGGTGGATTTCTTTTTTAAAAAAAATTAGCAGTATCACGACAAAGGTTCATTTTTAATGGTTATTTATTTCTATTGAAAAACTTATTATTATAATAGAACTTTCGGCCCAAAATATACATAAAAATTTTTTTCGTAAGAACCCACGCAAAAAATCCATCTGATTGATTGTCGATCCTTGAATTTTTATTGGCTACTTAAAGTAACGTCCTATATGAAAATACAATCGATCATATAAAAAAATCTGATTAAATTTTTCAGAATTGAACAAAATTTCTTTAATATTTCGTTAGCTGTTCATTATGTACCGTAGTATACTAACCAAAGTGCAGAAGTAAAAATTACATTGTTTACTTAACATATGTATCACACACCATACACTTCCAAATTAAGCACCCCTGAAAATAAGTACCCGCGTAAGGTTAAACCAGTATTGCTGTATTGTTATAGAAATCTTAAAGATAATACAAAATAAAAATCCTATACGGTATTATCATCAAAGATCCCTATTTCTATACAATACGACGCTTTTTACTAAGAAAAGTATTTCAAAAAATTACAATTGACTGTATAAAAAAATGTTCGTCGCCAATCATATTAAGAACTTCAGATATGTATAAAAAACATTGATATACATTATTTGTCACCACGGGTACTTTAGTCCACTACATACAGTAAATTCGTTACTTACTATTTGAAAGTAACAAATTGATATAATGAATAGTCAACAAAAAGGAATTTTGTTCTCCGACGTTACTTCCTGGCAAGTGATATATTTTTAATCAATCTATGTGTACATTGCGCTTATTCACGTTCAGAATGATATGAAGCTGAAATGGCACATTAAAGTTCTCAACTGCAATTTATTAATCAAAAATTCAGCGGATATGGATGATTTAGATCAATGTTGTTCACTGGAACGTTCCAGTGGGAATTACTGGAATTGGAAGATCACTGGACTTGACTGGATGGAATTCGAAGCATAATAGCTTCCAGTGATCAAATATCACTGGACCATTCCAGTGAAGTTTTTTATCACTGGAATGGAAGTTCCAGTGACGTCCAGTGGCTTCCAGTGGCTTCTGATTAGCCAATTCGAATCAATCACCGAAGATAGTACGTAAGCAGTGTGAACCGCAGAATTGGAAGCACGTGAATACTGCGGCTCGGAAACGGTTCCACAAGTATGCCGACCTTTTAATAAAAATAGAGTTACCCCGGCTGTATACACTGTATTCGCTGTATCGGCTGTTTAATGGTGATAAAGGGAATCATGGATGTAATCAGTATAGTCAGTATACAGTATAATCAGTATAAACAATATATCGCTCAAACCGTGTATAATGTGTTCTAATTAAAAGAAAGTATATAATAAAGGC